TGTACTTACAGTGCAACTAATTTTGAAACATAGATTACTATAGCCCTGGTATCAGATTTCACTTCTGAAGATGACAATTTTAAGTCTGAATGATCATTTAGAAATTTTCCATTTCAGTGTGTATTTTGAGATACACTGAAAGAGCATCAAGATATTCTTTTATCAGTAATCATATTGACAACCACATGATTTATGATCAGTTCACATACACTGCTTCTTGATCAAAATAAAATTAAGGTGAAAAAACAAATTGAACCCATCACAAACTTTGTTCAGGGTTCTCTCTATGTCAATAATCTGGTGATTCATCCCAATACATCCTTGTGTACTGGTTCAGACTATCCATGTTAAACTTGTGCCTGCAACATCTGATTTGCATCAAGTGCCCTCTCTTGTAATATATCTCAGGTGCACCAAGTGGTTTTGTAATTATACAGCAGGCTTTCAGGAAAGCAGAGCTACTATGATTATACAGTTTCTTACATTTTAAAACAGATTATCTCCCTTGGCAAGATTGTTTTAAAGTGTAACTTAAACCCCTAAGTATTAAACTATCCATAAATAATCCTATATAATACTAGGTTACATTGTCAAAGCTTCTTATTATTGGTAACTTCTCCTGAAATGGGAACTGTTCCATTTTAGTCTAAAGGTTTGAACATTTTAGCCATAAGCTTCTCTACTCAGCATGCAGGATTTGAGTCAGCAAAAAAAAAAAAGTTTCCTACAGCACAGGCAAGGAGAAACTTCATATATGTAGTACAGTGTCTGCTGCCTTTTCCCAAGATTGAAAACACTGAACTCCCACTCTGTTTCAGGTGAAATCATTGCTACTCATGCCCAGAGGTAAATGCATCAGGTCTCTTCCGAACAACCCCTGCGACAGGGGAACAGCAGATTGCGCTTTCATAGTAGGAAGTCCTCCACCTCTGTCATCTGAAACACAGTGCCAACAGGGTAAAACAAAGGGGAACTCTTTGAAGACACATAAAGCCTTCTCGAGCAATAAAAATCACACCAAAGGAATGAAAAGAAGATGTTTTCTGGAAGTATGGATTTCAATATCACATGAATGGAAAAACTTTTTGTCTCTCTAAAAGGCAAGAAAAGTATCGCAAGGTAGTAACTTTTTCCACCTTGTCTCAAACTTTCAGAGACAGAGAATACTAATGGGAAAAGCATGTTTCATCCTCCTCTCTCACCCTTTGTCCTAGTAAGTGGCAGAAGCACAGAATGTTAGGAGTTGGAAGGGACCTTGAAAGATCATCCAGTCCAACCCCCCTGCCAGAGCAGGATCATCTAGAGTAGGTCACACAGGCAGTAAATACGTCTTTATGTATTACGGCTAGGAAAGGGCAAGCTGGGGGGTAGGGGAAGAAGAAAGATGAAAAGGAAATAAATAAGACTCCTACATGAGAGGTCTCCTCAGATTGAAACAGAATTTTTGAAAGTACTATATATATGTGCACTAAATACATGTACATAGTTTCCATGTCAAACTGTCCTGATTTCAACGAGACATCAATTTTTATGTCTAAATTTCCAGTTTAAAATCGAATTGTGTAAACAGGAACAAACCTGAGTATTCTCATTGGTAAGGATTTGGTGTGCTTTGTCACTACGTAGTCTACCTGCAACTCCAACCTGTAAATTGATTTATTTAAGATGAGCCAATATATTGCTGACATTTTCAGTAAGAAATCTATCCAGTCCTATTCATGCAGACATTACTCAATCAAGCGTGCTCTCATATTCAGCCAATTTCTCTCTGGGTCCCTGCTCCAGTGACTGATTGAGAAATTAGTCTCAGCAAATTAAATCATTATTACTCGCTGTACCTGTACCCATCTTGGAACATGTGAGATGAGACAGACTGTTCAAATCCATCGTCCCCAACAGTTAATTCCTAAAAATAACTGAATGTTCTACTGCCGTGCAGAAATACATTCTATTCTTTCCCTACCATTTACGATTAAGCCTTAAGATTTCACTCACTGCAGAAATGAATTATATTTTGCCAAAAGTGAGGAAAAGGCAAGTTATGCATGGTGCATAAGAGATCAGTACTTTGCTACTGTCAAGTCACTTCTACCTCACACATGCTGAGACTTTTGTAAGAAAGTGTAAAAAACCTATTGTGTTAATCATCACAACCACTTCACTACTGCTCTTCCTCATTTGGATAATTTTGGCTTTTGAAGGCTGATGTGGTAACTTGCTTAAATATGTAAATACTCACCTGAACACGATCTCAAATCCTTTAAGAAAGCATTTTATTTCCATCTAAAGTACTATACCTTTTTATTTTCCACCTGAATTTTTTTTTACTGCTATGATCACTATCTCAAAAAATAAAGTATAATCAAGCCTCAGACCATTAAAGAGCAAAATAAAAAAATTGCTTAAGGATATTAATAGAGACACTCCTAAGTTACTGTACAAACAAATTTGATGTATTTATTTGTGGATCACATCATATGGAAAAATAGTTTTAAAAAAACCAAACAACTATTTGTTTCCATTGTTACTATAGTCAACTGACAGTTCAATCCTGCAGCTCTCTAGCTTTAAGCAAACCTTACAGTGACATCATGATTTATAGGAGTTTAACAGAGGCAACTGTTAAGCTCCTAAAAGCAACAATGCAACAAATGGAGCAACAATGTTTTTCCTCTCTCTCATATCTTAATAGGTGTCTAAAATCAAAGTTCTATATGGTGTATATCTGGCATGACTTCTACAGTTATCCTCAAAACCTGTGTATTGAAAATTTTCCTTTCTCAGACCTCCACTTTCCTATCTCAAAGGACAAAGTAGGCATGCTTTAATAACATTATCTCAATCCACTTGAAAAGCCTTCTTAATTCTTACCAAAACAAACTAATCTGTTTGAGGTAACATTTTGGTTTTATTTAGCATAGTAAACCTTATCTAATTAAGAGTAATATTAGGATGTTAACTAACATACACAAACCAACTTTTTAGAGTCCACTGCACACACACGTCAATTCACACTAAGTACAGCCTGGACCCCGGCACTGTAGTCAGCCCAAAAGGCAGTGCCTAACATCATCCTCCCGTACGTCCTCATTTTCAAGTGTCCTATCTATGACCCAATTCACTGGCATTGGGCTTACCTGAGGTAGGGGGCGATCCACTATTTATCCTCATTAAGACTCAAGTGGAAGGTGACAACCAGTGTGTAACGTCAAGACCAGCTTCAAATTTCACTATCAAGAAGATGGCTTTCCCTTTCCCCTTAGAACCTATCTAGATAGTCAAAGTCATTTGTGATAGTGCAAAACATACCCACGATTTTACTGTTTGACTTTATCTAGTAAGACTTGAGTTGCACCCTCCTTGATTGCTACACTTCTCAGCTATACTGTGGTTTCCCAGTTTTACCTTCAGCTTTCCTCAGAGATCTTCCTTGACTGAAACATAAATCGCTGAAAAGACAGGGCTCACCTTCAGTATCATCAAGTTCATTAACGCAGTGAAAAGACTGGATTTACTGTCTACTACAATCAGTGAGGTTTTGGGTTTCCAAAATATAGCCTAAAGGTCAAAGATTCCTGCAGTAAATGGACCATTTGATTATTCCCATGTTTGTCTTTAATCAGTAAAACCAATGCTGGACAGTTTAGGCATAAGAACTTAATCTAATTCAAGAATTAAATTCAGTGAATGGAAACACATGATGGTTACCAACCCCTTCAAGAACAAAATTTCTTAAAAAAAAATACTTCCATTTATCAGCAGCCAAGCACAATCTCACATATATGCCCCAACACTCAGTCACAATATACTGATGCACTTTAAATATGGACAAATTACTCATGTAGTACAAGCCACCTTCTTCCTGGCAAATTCCATTCTGAAGGCTAAATATATACTGGTTGTCTTTGTATATCAAAGTATCCAGCCAGCTGGTGCAGAGAGGAAAGAAAACCAGCTTACATTTTTCACCAGAGAGGTAAGGAAAAAAAAAAAAGGAGAACAAGGCCCATGTATCAGCTATTTTTGTTTTGCAAACTAGTCAGGACTTGCACTTCTTAATTTTGCATGATTGATAACCAATACAGACAGACAGACAGTGTGAGATTTTTGAGTACTACAGACCTATGTAAAATAGCCCAAACACCAGATCACAGCTCAAATTAAGGAGCCTAAAGATGTAACGTTTACCCAATGCTCTGGTTTTCAAATTCTAGTGAGTTCTTAATTTATTAGTTATAACTTGTTTTTGTTGGAGAGGGTTCAGAAAAGACTGAGATTTTTCTTAGCGTCAGCTTAAAAATACTTACAACTATTTCTTAAATGCCAGCTTAAGAAACGTATAAATAAAATTCAACATTAAGACCTCTAAACTTGGAGAGACATGCTCAGAACAGGAAATGATAGTTTGTTAATAAAGAAAGGTAAATCATTCTCTAGGCTTCCGGTGGGAAACTTGGCAGCGAAAGGATTTTGACCTCAGTGGAAGGTAACTGCCACAAATGACAAATCAAGCAACTTTCTTCTTACAAGTGAGGCAAATGTTTGACATAAGGCTGGACTGCATTCAGATCTATCATTTCCTGTGGCATATTCTTCTACTTTTAACAAATAATCCTGCAAGCTTTTTGCACTGGTCATATTTTCTCCCCCCCCACTTTCTCTGAGTAAAGCTGCTCAATCCTAACATTTTTTGTGAATATTGAAGCACAAAAGCTCATCACTTATAGAATAGATCAAGCTTTCAGTGCCTATTAGTCCCAGTCTGGAACAAATGAATGCATTTTCCTATGTTCATTTTACTTTTCTGTTGTAGGAACAACATATGGGACATTTGTGCAAAGGAAGGAAGCAAAAATCCTGCATTATTTTCAGGTGAAGTAGTAACCAACATTAAAAAATTACACTTAAAAAGTCTATTTTCATTTGTGAAGTTTGCAATTGGAAGTACTGTTTTCCCAACTCAGAACAATAAATGGGGGAAAAAATGACAAGTAGCCCAGTTTAATTTCAAACGTTAATATATTTTCTATTTTATAGTGAACATATTCATCGTTCACCCCTTATTTGCAGCAACTATGACGTCCTCATAAAAAGGGGTGACATTTGTAAGATGCCTCTTAAAATAAATATTTTTTTATAAAATAATAAAACTTCAAATAAATATTCTTTACACTAAACAATATGTTGAAAAAATTAGAAAATAAAGGCTGAATTTTACTGTAACTGTACAATATACATGAAGTCCAAAGGGAAATCAGAGTCTTGTAATAGAAGGTTTCCGTAAGACAAAATACAATCTAAAAACATACTGATTGATTCACATTCTTCCGAATGTACAACATATTAGTATAATATTTTGTGACTGTGCCATGTCTTATGACACCACATACTTTTCACAGTTGAAAATATTATCGTATATACAAAAATATAGCACATTATCTCTGGCAGAAAACAATGAAAGAAAAGGAGTCATTTGCTAATTTACAAATTTTGCAAGTACTATTCACAAACAATAGAGTTGCCTAGGAGTGTCTCTGTTGCTTTAGCTTATGCAATATGTGGGTCACAATGTACTGCATCCCATTCTTGGTTGTTTTTTTTTTCTGTATCCCACTAACTGGATTCTAACAAGCATATCAGTTAAGATGGCACACAGAGAAAAACCATTTCACTGCACACAGCAAAGTGTATCCCCAACCCTTCTACTACAGTGCCAAGACCATAGCTGCTTAGTTGGTTGCATATGTATGTTAAAATAATCCTGGTTACTTTAGTATTTCTGACTAGTGATGCTATGTTGGCTTTTCAAAGTTCCTGGGAGGGACATTGGGAACTTTGCAGCAAACAGTGTTGGAGTGTTTACAGCGGCACCCAGGCCGATTCACCCGGTCGTAACAGCCCTGGCACAACTTAAGGCAACCCTTGGCTGGTAGGTAACACCACAAGCAAGGCAGAAAGAGGGACACCACACCCATGGCAGACCATCTAGTGCAGCAATGCGACTGACTGCAGGAGCAGGGGTTGTCAGCACAGTTGTCCTCGTCATCGTTTGAGCAGTGGTAGAACAGGCCCTTCACGCAGCAAACACAAGTCCCGTAATCGACCACATTCTGGGCCGAGCAAAGACACTGCTTGTCACAGATCCAACATGATGGGAGGGTCCTCGGGTAAGTGCACTCCTTACATTTACACTTCCCACAGTCCTCGCACCTGTAGCTGTGTGTTCCCAAGTCTTCCTTGCTCAGTGGCTTCAGCTCGCTTGACTTGAGCTCAGACTTGGGCTGCATTCGGACTATCCCATCAGCAACTGGCCCTGAAGATGATCCTAGAAGTCTTTGTTCGGAGGAATTACTGCTCGTACTTGTCCTTGTACTGCTCCGTGAACCTGTGCTGACCGTGCTGATGGATCGGGACAGAGGCGCCCGAGAGGAGGTGTGCGTTTGCGTGTGCTGAATCCGGCTAAAATGACGATGCTCAGGCAAGCCATGGGGCCTTTCATTTTTGGGTTGGGTTGCTAGCCGAGGAGTGGACTTGATCCCCGGCCGCGGAGCCACCGTAGGTCCCTCTGTGTACTCATTCGTATTTCGGATGGCTCGGATCTGGTCCAGCGACAAGACGTGAACTTGCTGCGTCAGGACATCCCGCAGATCGGGCTCCCCATGCGGTCTCCCACTGTCACGCCGAGCCTGTAGCAAGGCCTGCGACCCGCTGCCGTGCTGAGCTCTCGTCTCCATCAGTGCCCAGAAGCGTGGTCACCCCGGCAGGCTTAGAACACATCTGAAATCCTGGAGCGACAAAGAGAGGATTCACTATTTCAACACATCTCATGCTCTCTCTCCAGCAGCCTTTCAAGCCTGCAGGATCCCACAGAACTGCGCACAAGCAAGTAATGCATCAGCCATTTAAAAAAAAAAATAAAAAAAAAAGGAGGCACATCTGGGGCGGAGCGCGGACCTCAGTCAGCTGAATGCACTTCCCTTGGCCTGTCCTGCCTACTTCTGTGGAGAGCTTAAAGAACGTCTGTTCTAGGTCCCTGCATCTTAACTTGTGGCTCTAGAAAGCCCAGGTTGTGCCTACTAACTAGGACTTCCCAGGTCATCTTCTGGTTAGACCATGGCCTTTAAAGTGATCACATTTCAACCACTTGAAGTGGCTCTTCTTTTCACATCAGCCTACTGAAAAACTCATTTTACATTTAAAAAAAAAAGAAGCCTGCTGCAAGTATTTAGCAAGTGTAATGTGACCTGCTGATGACAGACATATAATTCTCCAATTTTGTTTAAAAATGGATAATATTTTGGTAGGCTAGTCTCTTTACACATTAAACTTTACATGATGTAAATAGGAAATTTTAGTTTAATATCAATGGTCCCAAGAAAAACACTAAATAGCAATAAAATGTTTGAGGTTAGACATTAAATGAGTTAGTGCTACCAAAAACTTCAACAGAACAAGTAAAAATATCTCTCTCCAGTATTTTAGTGTGTCATACTTGTGTACACCACTGTGATTGTTATTTTAAGGCTCAATACTACAAAAGCCATGCTACCACAGTTTTATTTTTTAAAAACATGTAAAAAATTCCATAGACTACTTTCCAAATTGTAAATATTACCAAGAGTGGCTTGTGGGACAGAGGCATGCATGATATAATCAAACAATGCCAGAATCCAAGAAGTCTACTTGATTAGGAATACTACTTTAAAGATCATTAACTACAAAGTAGAAATGCAGACTTAAGAATTTAAATGGAAACTCAGTAAAAGACCCAGAAGATGAGAACTTGTAAATAACTAACTTCCACACTCAGATATGCAAAAGTTTCAAGTACTGCCCTCTAAGTTAGTTAATATTTGTTCTGCCTTTTATCATATCTCAAAGTGGTTCCAAAATCCAATTACCTATACAAAAATCCAGAACAATATTTTACAATTAAAATCCAGGCTGGAACCAAGCTTCTTACAAGGACCACACAATGTCTTCAATTACACCTAGAAAGAGCACCATAGTGTTACTCTGTTCACATCAGTTAACAACAATAATACTATACCGCAGTATAATAAAATATAGCCAAACAGTTTAACAATTAATATCTCAAGAAGCTGTCTTTATTTTAACAGCACTGCAAAACATTTAACCTTTTAATTCCTGGCTCCCCTCCCTCAAGTGCTTTTTCTTTAAAAAATCTAACTTGAAAAAGTGACCACCTATTTTAAATATTGCTAAGTCTTGGTCTTGGACCCAGAGTCTATGACATGGTGTTACATACACACACAGCACACACACAAAGAAGTATTGCAAACTTATCTGGAAGCATGGCTTATGTTTTCATCAAATTAAAAGCTTTGCCATATAAAAAGTTTCAACCACAACCCTAACTAGACATTTCCTCATCTCAAAATATCTTGAGATTTTAAAATAAAATAAAATAAAATAAAATA